ACAGCTCATGCAACCACAACAACGGCAGCAGAGCTTGCAGCGCTTCGCGCTGCGCTGCGTTTCATTAACGACCAAAGCACGCAACGGTGGATGATTTTTTGCGACTGCAAGGCGGCACTGCAATCACTTCTGTCAAATCTACGCCGTGGTCCACACGAGCAGTTGGTATTTGAAACAGCAGAAATGCTACACCACATAACAGAGAAAGGGCAACACGTTATATTTCAGCGGTTGCCAAGCCACTGTGGAATTATCGGTAACGAACGAGCTGATCAAGCAGCCCGTTCAGCCCATACAGAAGACAACGACCAGTCAATAGCTCTCTCAAGAACGGACGCTGCTAGGAGGCTCCGCATGCTTGCTCGCCAACGCTCTATAGCTCTTTGGAATGAGCCTCTCTTTACGCATGCAAGATTACGATCCCTTGATCCAACGTTAAGCATGCAGCTTCCAACAAAAATTCGACGAGGTGACGCTACTGCTCTGTGCAGACTATGGTTGGGAGTCGCGTTTACCCGTGCGTACGCGTTCCGCATAGGTATGGCCGACACTGCCGACTGTGCACACTGCGGAGATGAAGAAACAATTCGACATATACTGTGTGACTGCCCGAAATACAACCTGGAATTACAACACCTTTCTAATAAACTAAACAGGTTAGATGACCAGCCGCTGTCAGAAGAAAGGATACTGCGCCATCGTCATGACTCATCGTCACAGAAGAAAGCCGTGCAAGCGCTACTGGGCTTCTTACGAACTGCTGGCCTGTCGGAACGCCTCTGAGTGGACTGATTTTGTGTGTGCGTGTGTGTCGGTGTTTTTCTCTTATTTATTTTGTTTAACTCTCCCTTTCTCTTTCAACCCCCTATTCCCCAACCCCAGTGTAGGGTAGCATACCGGATACTAGCATCTGGTTAACCTCCCTGCCTTCCTCTTTTCTCGTTTCTCTCTCTCTCAGTGACATTTCCCTCCACACAGACGAAGCCCACCGGGCGAGTTGAAGAGTCTCTCTGGGAATATAGCGCTCCAAACGTGCGATATGGACAAGTTCAGTCTTTGCAGCCCGTAGGCCATTTGAATGAAGATGTGCTACGCGGTAAGTTAAATGGCTTATACGGTCTAAAACAGTATAAGGTCCCGCATAGTGCACCAGCAATTTTTCACAAAACGCACGTTTCCTATTTAGCGCCCACAGCATAATAAACACATTTCTAAACTTAACAATACGATATGTGGTAGTGTCAGAAACATTTGAACGATTCTTGAACTTCGCCTTCAAGAGTGGATTGTGATAGAATCGCGAGCCCCGCCGCGGTGGTCTAGTGGATAAGGTACTCGGCTGCTGACCCGCAGGTCGCGGGTTCGAATCCCGGCTGCGGCGGCTGCATTTCCGATGGAGGCGGAAACGTTGTAGGCCCGTGTGCTCAGATTTGGGTGCACGTTAAAGAACACCAGGTGGTCGAAATTTCCGGAGCCCTCCACTACGGCGTCTCTCATAATCATATGGTGGCTTTGGGACGTTAAACACCACATATCAATAAATCAATCAATAGATTGACGAGTAGACGAGCAGAATGCGATAGCGTGATCGGGCTTCGCTCGCATCGCCTTCTCAATCGCTAGCCTAGTTTCTTTGTCACGGTACACCTGAAACCCGCTGCAAGTAAAGTGGTCGAGGTGTCCATGCGAGTTACATTTCACAGTTATTAAAAACAATCCACAAACTCTTACTTCAAGCACATTTGTAAAGTGCCTACTACGATGCCATCATACTGCATTTCACAATAATTTCTTAAATTTCTGAAGTTCCCACTGCACGTTCGCTAGGCGACAAGCAAGCCTAACGCATTTGGTAACTTTGTTGATGTTCTCGCTGCTGATGATAACTACTTGTGCCTGAGAGTTCTAGGTGGAACATTAAATCATTCGATCAATGTGCAACTCACAAGATAGGACGCCTGGTGTGATTCTAAGCTTCAGCGTTGCAATAATACGTGCGCTAGGGCACTTTTAACACTACATGACATTCTTATAGTCTTCTCTTTTTCTTTCTCGAAACAAAATCAAGTGAGAACGTGGCTCTGTGGTAGATGCACAATACCTGCTTGCCAGCAGAAGTCCTGGATTCAACTCGCACTCAAATATATTTTTTTCTGTGTATTTGCATCTATCTATAACTTTGGCTCACGGACAACGCTGATTTTTTTTTTTTTTCACAAACCATGCCAACGCCGGAAGTTGTACGGAGGGACCTGTTTAACGCTGTCGCTAGAAAATGGGTATAAAGCGTGCAATATTCAAGTCACATGTTGGTACAATTCTGATATACATATCATACACCTAAATTCAATTACTGCAATCTCTTACCGAGTCATTATTTATCTTACAGCCGTAATAAGGTTATCTGATATTATCAAGACTGACTCTGCTCCTGACTTCCCTCGTACTGTTAACAACCGTTTTTTACGCGATTACTTTTTTTGTTTATTTTTTTGAATTAATGATTTATAACCACACCACCTTCCCACTAAGAAGACCAGCGCCTGAAGTTAAAGATCCATTCCATGTCATCCTCGAATGGGCAAGTGTCCTTTATTTCGCTTCTTTAGAAACTTACGCACTTGGGCAATTACAGTCACGAGGACTCTGACATAGCATTAATCTGGTGACGCAAAAAAAAAGGGGAGGGGGGCCGAAAAAAATACGTTGCACCGACATGATTTTCACGGGACGGGAACGCTACTGGTACACGGTCAAACATACGGAAGAAAAAAACTGTAAAGAGTTACGGAAAACAGAGCGATGTCGCGGCCGAAAAAAAGGCAGATAACGATGACGTTGCAGTAATGAATTACCATCCGCTGGTGCGCCCAAACAATTTCCCGCTCGGAAACAGGCTGAACTGCGTGTCGGAGCGTGAGCCACGAACGACATGATCTCCAGCGTGGGACGCCCAGCACGAATGTCAGCCACGGATCGGTGAGAAGGGGGCGACGCGTGTGCCAGTTCGCTTTGTCTTAATTCGGCAGCGGCAAAAGCTGCGGTGCGGCGTCGGCCGAGGCATCATGGCGTCGACGGGCAGGGGGGTGGGAATCGAAGGTCTGGGACATCTGTGCGCGAGACAAGAACAAGTAAAGAAAGAACAAACACGAACGAGAGCTGTCTGAAATCAGGAATGTGTACCACTCGCTGTTTTTTTTTTGTGTGTGTGTGTGTGGAAGTCTCCTCTCTCACGTTACAGTCGTAGCGGCAACTTTGAGGACGTTAATCGTGTACCAGCCCCGATTTGCCGGACGGTGACGAGAAAAAAAAAAAGAGGCGGTGCTATAAGCGTGTACGTGGGCCTTTTCTTGAGCTTGACGCGCTAATGGGCCGGTGATTTATTCGAACGCGCTGATCATCGCGTGTCATTAATCACGTCATGAAAGAGAGAGAGAGAGAGAGAGAATGAGAGATAGGAAGCGTGATCAATGTCCGTCTATAGGGTCGTGCCTTTTGCGGGGGGCGGGTACGGGCCCGTAGATCACCAGATCGAAACGCGGAAAGTAAATCCTCCGTGTACGAGGCCCCGCTCGCCAATGCCTCATGTAGTTTGCCTTTTTTTTTTCATCTTGGTGTCCTGTTCGACAGATTGTCGTCGTGTAAAGCGAACAAGCAGGCTTCCGCCCGAGTGGTCGCTCGCCTTGCGACAAAACTACCGTGTTACTCTGACTGTAGACGTATTGGAGCCATGAAATAGATATTCAAGCTCTTACAGTAGCAATCCTGATGCGAAGTTCAATGAAGTCGCTGTACTCGCGTGTTGCTGTGCTTCTGACATGCGCTAAATGCCAATTAGCTCTTTTTTTTTTGTCGACAATCGTCTGATTGTACGTGTGAGCATGCCTTGCGAACCTACAATTTTCACACGTACAGTTGCGACGTCAGCAAGAAAATCGCTTTCAGGTGTCATACCACGATAAAAAACAGTGCATGCATTTGTGCACCCGTTGACTCCGAAATGACATAGGCCTAAACGTGCAGGTTTACAGCTCGTACAAAACTCCAGAATTTGGCTGAGCTTAACGATTTGCCCTGCACTTTATGAAATACACTATGGCGAGAATCGTGATCATGCGACTCATTCACATTACCTGGATTTAAGATGCAAAACAATTAGGTCGTCAGCCCCATCAGCAGCCCCACCCTCTCGCATTTGTTCATTAAAATCAAGAATAAATGGGCATGGGTAAGATACGTAGAGAAAAGGTAAGATAACCGATGTCATTAAGAGTGACAGACTAGATTACAAGAGAAAGCAAGCGTGCGACAGGGAGAGAGAGAGAATTAGTTGCGCAGATGAGATTAAGAAGTTTGCGGGTAAAATGTGGCCACAGCAAGCACTGAAACGGGTTTATTGCCGACAAGGAGAGGCCTTTGCCCTGTAGTTGGTGCAACCAGGTTCATTATGATCACGATGGACATCCATCTTCTTCTTTATTCGCTAATCTATTCGCGTTTGAAGAGGTGCACCTCCGGGTCAATATGGTGTTTCGTGCAACTTAACACGTATTTCGTTTTGTTAAAGCGCATGTGACTCGAAAAATAACGACAAACTTTTATTCAAGACTTTTATTCAGATATTATTCAGCACAACAGGAAAATATTGAAGCTTTAGTTGATGCAAATGAAGCTACCTTTTCTTTACAGCATTGGCTTTTTTTACGTGCATGACATCGAGGCAGACCTTTTAAGATTGTACATGCAAAGTCCACCAATTGTCGCAGAAGGAAGGGAAATCAACGCAACTTGAATGGTGCGCTGATTTCACTCATTTCTGTTCACAATGTAGACGTCGCTAGCCACGTTGGAAGACAGATTTGTCTTCGAGAAAACTTGCTACACAGACTCGCTTTTTGCGAACTGTTACACTGATATAAAGCACGAGAAAGGAGCACTGCGGTAGGAATGACCTCTATAGTTTGCATTTTCTTTTTTTTTTGTTTTTCCTTATAATAAACGATCATGTCATTTTCACCAATTAAAAGGCTTGCTTTCATTTATCAAAAAATAAGACATGGTCGCATTGTTCTCGCAAAAAAATTTCAGAAAGAATTCGAGTTTCTCTTACAGTGAGTACGTGCGTCATTTTCCGCAATTTTTTTTATTATAAACTTTCTGAAAACTCGTTTTGGAGAAGTCTGTACTAAATCAGTGTAGTTGTGACAGACTGCGTTAAATTCATATGTAGTATTGAGAAGATTTTGAAATGTAAAGTGAAGGAACAATTATACTACATGTGACTGCACCACAGTTCCTTTCACATTTTTATTGATATTATCTGGGGTTACATGCCCCATTGCCTGGCTATGATTACGAGACATGTCATAGCGGAGGGCATCGAATATTCCGGCCTTGTGTTGTCCTTTACCACGCTATCACATCGCGCATAAAAGGGCGTCTAGCATTTCACCTAAGCCGAAATACGACCACCGAGGTCATAATCGAACCCACGACCATTGGTTCGGAAGCCGAGAACCGTGACTACTGTACCTCTGCGACGGACTAGCTACTTTCAGTGCATGCTTTTCATTGGCAGATTACGCGCAGCAATTACCAAGTGAAAATGACACTGGTGTCTTCTCCGCCCGTAAGGACACCAAGGTTTCCGAAATATGACTCGAAAATTCGTAGCTGTAAGATTGCATGCAAAGGCTTAGGTAAATACACAGGGATCGCGTAGGCTAAAGTAAATGCACAGGGGTGAGCACTGTGCCTCAAATGTCCCGCTTTTCAGAAAGACATGCTGCCTGAGGACATAAAGTGCATTCCTACATGGGAAAGGGGCGATCTTCAACCCCGGGTGTAGATTAGCATAAGCTAGAAGCTACTGCCCAAAAAAAGGGCGATTGGCTGTCATAACATAATGTCTCAAGGCATAACCTATGACAGTGGTGACAGATATTATAAACTGCTCGACTGCAAAAAAGATGGAACAGACAATCATCTTGCGTATAGGTATAATCATTCAGGGCGCCCCCAAGTGACATGGACTGCACGTGCGGCTCGCATTATTGTAACAGAAAAGGCTTAAAACAAGGAGCGCTGTAAGAACTGTGTGTGTGTGTGTGTGTGTGTGTGTGTGTGTGTTTGTGTGTGTGTGTGTATGTAGCGTTGTTTGTTAACGTATAGACATTCGTTTCATTTTGTGCGAACGCTAACGTCGTGTTTCCGGCCTGCATTTTGCTTCGAATTAATTGTCACACAGAATTCTAATTTATCCTGGTGGTATTGTTTGTGGCAAGGCTATCTTATACACATTGTGTTTAGGTGTGCTTATATGTAGCCTTTGTATCCTCCGTGGCTGCTCTTTTCCGTAGACTAATTATCCGTAAAAGCATGTCACCGGTGCTCTATGAAAGCGCCTGCACCTTTTAAACAACATTTAGTGACAAACCATTAGTAAACCAGTCAGAGCAACTTCAGGAAGCCTCGAATGTATCATGCCTAATTAGAATGCTTGTTAAAGCTGCACACCAAAGCCACCAGGTTGGATGCAGAGAAGGATGAGTGGACGAATGGGACGACCAATGAATAGTCGAGGAAAGTTTTGTTTTGCCCTGTTCACAACGCCTTCTTATACGCAAGAAATGCGCGTTGATGGCACCTAAATGCAAAAATTATTCAAGCGACAGCCATGCACTCTATCTGGCTTAGCGCAGTTTAGTAGAGCGAGCTTCAGCGTCGCAATATCTGGCAGCAAGTCCCAATTAGTGGGGAACCCGGCGAACAGCGCTTCGGGCGTTCGGCCTCAAAATAATGCGCCGCCGTAAAAATCCGAACACGCGGCGCTGCTACTTCAAAGCCTCTCATTTCCGGCGCCAACTTTTAACGCCTGAAGCCAAGTGAGCAACTTAGTCAATTCGAGTTTGTGGAAAGGAAAATGGATAAAAAAAATGTCTGTTGACGAAGAGTTGGGCTGCCGTGTACAGATTAAGCTTCGACTATTAAGCTTCGACTCCCGAGCCAAGCGACAACTTCAAGGCGGTGCCTCAAAAGCGGCGTGAAACACGATAAAGGGGGACGAAGTTTCCAGGCGCACTATGACTAGTGTGGTTGTGCTTGTTTTTCTAAGTATAAAAAAGCGTGGGGGTAAAAACATTTGCGAGGTGGTCAGGGTGTCGCCAATTGCGTAAGCGCGAAGACATGTACGCGTGAGGGACTCCGGTACTGCAATAGAAAAGAGGGGGGATGAAATCACTGGGCTTGTGGGTGCTCAAAATTTTCCTTGAGGACAGCCCGTTTCACAATGTGGTAAAGTGTGTGAAATACCAGATTTCCTACTGCGTTATAGTGGTCTGTTTTTTATACCCGTATGTTGTTAAACTATTACGTGCTAAACATTAACAAACCCGTAATAGGAAGTGTGAAAACCCTACTACTGGCCTTGCTCAAATTTCGCACAACTTGCTGTGGTGCAGCAAGTCAGCGCCACACGAGTGGTGATTGCTATTGTATTATAACGGGAAAGCAGTACTCATGTGACACAGTAGAAATATCCACGTGCAAGAACAGCCCGCAGCTGATGTATTTGAAACTGAAGATGTCGAAGCTAGAGGCCAAGCCAAGTAAGAGACCGTTTTGTTGTATTTCTAGTGCACCTCTGTAACTTAGCGGCTACGTAGCACAGCACCAATAAAGCCTACTGTTATGATCAGCCTTCGCGCCTTGGCACCGCTTGAACGTAGGAAATGATTTCTCCAATCTCTGCCCTGCTTTACCCTGGGTCGATGCTCCCTGATGTGCACTTGATGCGTCGACAACACGTCTTCATCAAAAGGTCACCGCGCCTCGTCAAGCGGGTTGGACATTCCCGGCCGACTATGGCAATTCCGTGGCCCATGAAAGGCTATTGGCAGTCGGAGCAGCTTGGAAAGATTGGCAAACTCTGCGCTGCTTTGTTCGTTGTGCTACGAGGTGCACCGGACAATCGGCCGAGCGTCTGGGATCTGTCTAGGGGCACGTTCTCCACACTCCATGATGCCTTCATGCCTTCGTGGCCAGTCCCGGAGCCAGCCGTCACTGCACCTGGCTACACAGCTGCATTGCGCGTGTGTCAACTCGAGCCGCTCGTTCTACTGTACTGTTCCGTGTCATATTATCGTATTGCGTCTTGTGTTATGTTTCTCTCTCGCTGTGGGGTGAACTGGGCACGTCTCTTCCCTATTTCCTATGTTGGGACTTGGGTGATTTCTGATATTTGCATATTGGGGGTGGAGACATGAACGTCATCTTGATTAAACTTCTTTGGATTCTACTGTTTCGCTGCAGGCGATCGTGGGAGAGCGAAGACCTTAAGACGCGAGCGTCGAGATGCTCCAGACAAGCTTATATCTAGAGCCATTAAGTTACCATCATGTAGAGCACGCTAACATCAATATCCTAGCAACACTGATTGATAGATATGTTGGGTTTAACGTCCCAAAACCACCATATGATTATGAGAGACGCCGTAGTAGAGGGTTCCGGAAATTTCGACCACCTGGGCTTCTTTAACGTGCACACAAATCTGAGCACGCGGGCCTACAACATTTCTGCCTCCATCAGAAATGCAGCCGCCGCAGCCGGGATTTGATCCCGCGACCTGCGGGTCAGCAGCCGAGTACCTTAGCCACTAGACCACCGTGGCGGCGCCCCTAGCAACACTCTATCTTCAGTATATAAACACTGTAAATAACTATTACTGTCATCAGTCCCGGCTACTCTGCTCGACATCCCACTGAGACTTACCTGAGGGTGGCGATTTGGGCTTGTTGGTATGGTTGCATGATGATGGATGGTAGCGCAGACAACGAACACGGACAAGAGAAGGCACATAGACACAACACAGCGCTAACTTTCAACAACAGTTTATTACACGCAGATCTCCGTGGTGTATGCGATCCACCACGCCAACGTCGCACGTGCGTAGCTCTAAAAACCATCAAATATAACCAACGCGCGTGTTCCAATACTTTACAATTTTATATTTTTCAATCTTTTTTTACTTTTTCTTTCTTCCTTTTATCCCATGTTACCACAAACCCTATCGCGAATACATGTAATCAAGTTCCTTATCTGTCAACACCACTGATGGGCTGCTCACACACGTGTCACCTAGCTCTGCAATTCTGCCGGCCTCCAATACCAACCGCGTCATCTCGTGCCTACTTCTATTGATTATAACCGTTTCCTTGAATTTCGGTGTGCAATTACATCTCTGGCAATGAAGGGAAAGAAAACCATCAGGAACAACACTATTTACTTTGTTATTGTGCTCGCGCAAGCGATCGTTTATGCATCTACTGGTCTGACCGATATAACACTTTCCACAAGTAAGTGGAATGAGGTATACAACACACATGATGCACTCCACAAATAGGTTTCTATGTTTCTTTTGGCATACATTTGATTTTCCCTTGTCTGGTCTTGTGCTTCTGCAAAGACTCACCAACTTATTGGGTGCCGAGAAAACTATGTTAGTGCCACATTTTTCCGCAATCTTTTTTATCCTGTGAGAAACCTTATGCATGTATGGAATTACGGCAAAACTTTCCTTTCTTGAGCTCACCCTATCCATCCCTTCACATCTTTTCTCCAGCACTTTTCTGTGCAATCCTTCAGCAACGGACACGACGAGGCTCTTGGGGTACCCGGCATTGCTTAGCCTCGAGACCTGTTGTCTGAAGCTTTCATTCATGAGGCACCGGCAGGACTTCTTTAGTGCCTCACTCAAGCACATCTTCGCAATGCCTCGTTTTACCAGTTTAGTATGCGCTGAGTGAAACTGTAGTAAAGGCTTACTTGCTCTGGGCTCGTAACACCAGCATGTCTTTTCATCTGAGAATTGAAAGTTAATGTCAAGAAATCTGAGCCTTCCGTCACATGGCATTTCAAAAGTCACTTCAAGTGGGTTAAGCCCCTCACGAAAAACGCTACACACGCTACTACATTGAGTAGCAAAATCTGCAGTTCTGTCATTGATAAA